CACTGTTAATATTGTAAATATAAATATATGATACCATTTATATATATATAAAATTGCATTTTTACTTTGATATAATATACTTGTACATATAAGTTATGCAATGTGTTTAATACAAAAATTTATAATATGAAGTTTTAGATTGCAATAATTATTAGAAATCACCCAAGATAACAATATTTATTCTTTCTAATTAAAAATATTTGATTGATTACTTGGAAAAAAACTATTTTATAAAAATAATATATTGCTCGCGAGTTATAATACATTTGTTTCTTACAGACTATATTATACTCTTCTATAATGTTTGCATTTTACGTATATTACGTTGGTATTATTCCTCTCCGTTTAAAATAATATTCGTGATCTTTCATAGTACGTTCGTAAAATTTAGTTCTTGGATCAATTGGACTTAATTTTGGACACTGAAACACGATGCAATTAATTTTACATCGAGAAAAGAATGATTCAATTTGCCTTATTGATATAAAATAATAATTGTTATAAACATACACCAGATAAGTTCCTTAATTCTATTGCCTTTGGTAATTTGTTATTCAAATTTTGTTCTCTGTCTCCGTGAGCAGGATGTGTTGATAACCAAGGTACAACATCCATTGCTAAATTCATTTCTGAAAGTGTTCTCATAATACCCCAAAACACAACTGCTTCGCGTACATCTACGCAAGCCTTGAAAAATTCATATTTTCTATATTTTACAAATTTCATATGATACGTTATACGTCTATAAGATTGGAATAAACTTAACAAAATGACTTACTCTTGCAGCTAATCCTAATCCCACAAGATCAGCTTCATTTTCCAATGCTCTACTAAATGGTAAATTATGTAAAAGATTTATAATATGTTGTCCAATTATTTGCGAAAGAAAAGCTAATACATCAGGAAAACATGCCCAAAGTAATAAAATAGGAATTACCATTAAGACGTCTATTAATAAACTATGCGAAAATTGTTCAATCTATTAATACAATAGAAACAATATTACTTTAAAACTTCAAATAATGGAATTAAAATTAGAAATGATTTCTTATTTTTCTATTAATTACCGGATGCAATAGCAATTCATGGGCCATTTCATGGGCAAGTATAATACTTAATTGATCATCATTATCAATAATATCCAAAACACCCAAGAAGAAGAATATATTTTTTCCCTAAAAATGATTTAATTTAAAATGACAAGAATATTTAACTGAAATATTAGACATTCTTTTCTTTGATACGTGCAGGTAAAACATATGCATTTCTTATAGGAGAATCAACGATAGTTAATGTCCAATCTTTTTCATTAACACCATTCAAATCTTTATTTTTGTTCAATATATTTCTTATAATTTTAATTAATCTTTTATATGCAGGATGATTGTATGATACCAACGATCCCCTATGTTCTTCTAAATGCTAAAAAAAAAAATAAAATACAATATAATTTCAGTAAAGTATCTTGTTAATTACGTTTACAATTAAACATATAATAAAATATATATATATATATATATATATAATATATGAATCTCACCATTTCAAGAATTAATTTGCCTAATACACTTTGTTCTTTCTTATTAAATATTATAAATCTCTTTCGTTTAGTTATTGGATCAGTTTCAAGGTGTGTTAAATAGTACAAAATAAATATTAAGCATAATAGACTTAAAGATCCTAGAAAATTATAAATAAGAAATTGATCTATATAATATTATTAATGTTATTTTAACAGAATATATTAATTCATTTACCTAAAAACATGTTTCTGTTTTCTTTAAACAATATTTTATACTGTTCTTTTTCTTTTGTAGATTTTTTTTGCCACCATTGTTTAATGCCACGTCCGAGTAAAAAAGCACTCAATCTCAAAATTGGACGTAAAATGATAGCAAGAAATGGTGGTACATATAACTTAGATGTTGTATGAAAATCACATATCTTTTGATAATTTATATTTTTAAATTGTTTTAGAGATACTTCTGTACGTAATGCACAAATTTTAGAATATCTAGTAGATTGACGACTTGAAATTATACTAATCATAGATTTGACTTTACAAAATTGTATACACCGAAGTTGCATTGCTTTTTGTATCCAGAGCATATTGAAATATTACTGTAAAAATAAACAAAACTACAAAATAATTACAGAGAAAAAGAGAGAGAGAGAGAGAGATTATATAAATTATAAAATAGTTGTTTTCACTATATTCATATAATATATGTTATGTTTGTGTATAAATTCATAAACAATATTTCTTTAGAACTGAAGAACAAAAACAAAAAATAATCTATTTTTTGTATGCAATTATATAGTATAGTCTTTTTTTACAATCACAAAACAGCTTAGCACAAAGAGTTGATGGTTGTGCTATTTAAAATAAATTGTTAGCCCTAATTGATTAACATCTTTTTATTCGCTTTATTTTTTATGTATATCTTCTTCAGATGGATTATGCAACTGTCGCGATATTAATAATAATAATAAAACATAATAGAAGTTAATGCGAAGTCTGTTATTAAACAGTTACCTTATATAAAAGCAGTACTTTACTATCTAAATGGTTTAAAATTATAATTTTTCTTAAAAATATATTCTACATACTTAAACTTTAACATTTCACTTAAATATGAATGATTATGAAGACGATTATTTTAATAAAACAGTAAATAAGTAAGCTACTTTAGTAGCGCATCGACCTGAAAAAAATATTCGCAAAAGCTTTTTAGTGCCAGGCCAGCTAGACACCATATCGGTATAGTAATGTTCTACCTTTATCTTATCTAACGTTGGTAACAGTAGTTTTCTTCTTTAAATATTATAGACCGTCGGTAATCTCATATATAAAGTATTACCGACGTAGAGTAAAATAAATTTGAAATATACTATTACCGACGGTCGATCTACTAAAAGTAGAAAACTGCAATTCCGACTGTCGATATTTTAAAAGTAGAAAACTGCCGTTACCGACGGCAGATAAGATAAAGGTAGAGCACTACTATTACCGATATGATGCTAAGCAATGTTACTAGAATTTCAATAAATTTTAAACTTGCTTATCTCCTAGTAACTTTTAATAGTAAGTAGAATACACAAAGTGAATGTGTAATTAAATTCTATATACATTTAAAATCAAACAACAATTAAAAATCTATTATAGATATTTTGTTTTAATGAATAATTAAAGGTGTTTAATCCTTAAGAACGATTGTCTTTGAACAGGTACAGAAAAAAAGAATCACTAGATGAAAAAAACGACCAATATCATATTGGAGCTAGAAAAACCGGAAAAAAACGGACAAACAAAAAGTAAGGAATTGATTGAAAACAAAAAACAATAGAAAACTGTTAAGGTTCCATGCTAACTTTTTTTCGGTACTTTTTTGTATTTACTACGGTCTACTTGTGGTCCCAGTTATAACAAAAATGAAACTCGGTAGATAAAAAAGAAGACTTGTGAGCTTCTATGTCCTTCTGTATTCTTTGGTAATAATAACTCATAAGATATATACTACAAACCTGAATTGCGTTAACGTTAATGATCTATTTAAAATTATAATAATAGATCTATTTAAATAAAGCGATTTATTTATATCATTAATTCGAAACAAAATTTGTTATGTTTTCAAACAAATGGTCTGAAGAAAAAAAACATCTTATTCCAAACACCGAATCATTTTAATACTTAATGTATTTTTGCAAATAATAATTAATGATTTAAGTGTTATCGATCAAGAAATATTCTAACATGTATCAATCAAGAACAAAAATAGTGTGCAACTTTTACTAGTAAATAATAACTTAAGTAAAATAGAAACACTTATCAATAGGCAAAATTTATGATAACTAAATATTATACATATTTATCATGACTAATGGTTACACTTATCTATTATTTTCCTCAAATATAATCAATTTTCTATTTCTATGTACGTACATATAGAAACAGATCTGACCTCGAGTATAAACGGCTAGATATAGGCGGATACAAATGTACGTATATAAGTAGATGCATACAGATGATTAAATCAGACGAATAATATATTTAATATTGAAAGAATTTGTGTTGAAACAAATTTAACGAATTATTTAAAACTAAAGTATAATATATAAGTAAAACATATAAATAAATAAAAATAAATAAAATAATAAATAATAAAATCTTTACTATATATTTATAGGTATAATGAAAAATTGGTTTTAACACCTGACGTAGTTGTAACTTTTCACAACATGGCGTCCGACAGAGGGAAGTATAGGACAAACATCAAGAAACGAACAGAGTATGCTTGTACTATATACAATTGTAAAGTGTCATACAGTGCGGCCATGGATGCATGTATTTGCGCGTGCACGAGTGAGGCTCTCTGTATACGTCCATCATGAATCAAAATTTACGGTTCTTTCATATTTCTTGTTTAATGTTTTCGTCAACAAGAATAATGCAAATCTAGTCTCGCAACTACAACACCTTCTTAATCTTATGGACTGCTGTCTTCACAAGGATGATTCTTTCTTCCCGGTAATCAAAATTTAACACGATTTTATCTTTATTACATTCACTGTTCCTGTCGTTTCACAAATATTCTTCGTCTCACTTTTTATTGGTATACGTTTTGAAGCTTCAACTTTTTTCTATTATAGATTTTTTCATAAAGTTATATTCAAATACCCCTATTTGAAATAATACAGTAATTTTTTTATGTTAACGATCGTTGTTGTTGATTGCAACCATTTATGTATTTCGTACTTGTTCTATACGTCGGAAAATAACTTACGTGTTCATTGTGTTAACATTGTACTATGTCAATGACAAATTAGTATTCTTTTATAGAATTGTACATAATTTTCATTAAATGAATATCTAATTCCGTATTATTTATCATTTGTCATTCTTTTACTTGCACATTTTTCCTCAATGATTTAAATTAGCATTGTTTTTAATAATAAAGTAAAGTGTTTAATAATATACACATCTCTTATTATTAATGTGTTATAAATTTTATAATATTGTTTGACGAATTTAAAAAAGATGTATCTATGTTAAAAAGAAATTAATTACTAAATCGTTTAGTTTCGTGTAGTTTTTATTGATTCACAATATCTATTTGTACTTTCTACAGATAATATTGAAAAGAAATTGAATGACAAATTTATAAATATAAAATATAATTTAATAACCTTTTTATTGGTTTAGCAATACATTTATTTTCTATTATTTTCATTATTTTTCTTCTTCTTTTATACTCGTATTCAATATTTATACTCAGAGATATATAAAAGTTGTTCTTCGCTTACAGTTAAATTTCAACAATTGAATAAAATAAAATTTTACAACTATGGAGCAAAGTAGAAATAGACCAAGTAGACCACGTTTACGGTCACACGGTAATTCTGCACGAGTTCTTGTATTTGATCAAATGGAAACAGATGAAACAAATTGTAGTACTGATCAAACACGTAATCGTCCTACAGTATCTAAAGTGGAAAGTAAAGAGGCTCCTGTTCGGCCAGGTTAATATTATTTTCTTTTATAATCTTATTAATATTATATTATATTATATGTGGTTTCAATATTTACAGTTTCTAATTAATTATATTAATGTAAAACATTTGTAGTTAGCGGAGAATTATCAAATTTAGTTCGTATGCGGAATTCAGCTATTGGGAAATCAGCCCCTTCTTTGTCAGTTCACATGGTTAGTCATCTTATTATTATTATTCTTTAGTTAGATCTGTATTTAATCTAATGGAATCTTTTCTCTACACAGCGTGATCCAAACATTCCTCGTCGATCTGCTAAAGCAGCACATCGTAAATCATTCATTGCGACAACATCACCTACTCTACCACGTTGTCATTCACCTTTATCGGGTATGTTAAGCATAGGTTACTTTCAATATTTATTGCTATTAATAATAGTCAAATGGTATAAAATGAAAAAATATTGCTTTCAAAAGATTTCTTGAAATAAGAGTCTATATTTTGATAGAATTATAGTTATAGAGAATATTGTATCATTATTTGTAGAATAGATAAAATAAATAATATTTTATATCTTCTTTTCTCTTTTTGTATTTGCATTGTTTTTAGAAAATAGTTAATTAATTTTTGAATTATTTCCAAATACAGCTTTCATCCCAATTGTAGGCAGTCCTCTAGAAAGTCCTAGGATGTCATCCAGTCCACATTTTGCTTTTGCTCCTGTTAAAAGGTATATAACTCATCTGTTTTTCTCTGTTCTTTTATTCAATAAATTGATTATTTTGTTGCATAGTTATTGTGTTATTTATTAATATATATTCTTACATTCATTAATGAACACTATTAATATAATATAAATTCAGTGTTTGCATATTAGATAGTAATACAAAGATAATCATACTTTAGGATTGGGGGTGCTACAGGGACTGGTGATGGTAGAAGATGGTCAGTTGCAAGTTTACCGTCTAGCGGCTACGGAACAACACCTGGTTCAAGTAATGTTTCAGTATGTATTTTCATGTACTAAAAATTAATTAAAAATATATGTATTTATTCATATATAAATTATATAAAAATATTATGCTTTCTTTTAGTCACAATGTTCGAGTCAAGAACGTTTACATCAATTACCAAATATTCCAACTAAAGATGAGTTACGCATGCTTTCCTGCCACTTTTCTAAACCTGGAACACCATGTTCATCGCATCCAGGTTTTCCTGGTTCTAGTATATCTACTATTTCTGGTAGTCTTGAAGAAGAAGGTCGTAAATCGCCATTACATCGACCGCGGTCACGAAGCTTAAGGTAACAATTACGTGACAAATATAATTCTTAGAATTTAATTTCAATATATACATAAAATTATAATACGTTGATATAAAAAATATATTATTAATAAAGTAATAATTTCGAAATTACAGTAGTCCGAGTCGGTCACCTGTTCTTGATAGTGAAATTGTCATGATGAATACTTTGTACAAGGAACGATTTCCAAAAGTATGATTTATGAAATAAGTAATATATAATACAAAAATGGTTAATAAAATCATTTAATTTAATAATGTGATGTATGTTTTAATTAGGCTACACAACAAATGGAAGAACGCTTGACAAATTTTATTAACGAAAACAAAGAAATCGATGAACGTGAAGTAAAGGCACATATGACCCCAGATTCTTTACCAATTTTACGTTTTGTTCATCATCAAGTGATCGAAATGGCAAGAGATTGTTTACAAAAATCACAAGAGAAATTGATAACAACAAGATATTTTTATGAAATGAGCGAAAATTTAGAACATTTATTAATGGAGGTATGTCTATGTTATTTATTATAGATATTTATTTAAACAATTTGTGATTGTTAATAATAAGTTTCATTTTTATAGACGAAGGAAAAATCATTAGAAGCTGCAACACGACTGACTGGCTTAATTAAAAAACTTTTATTAGTGATCTCACGTCCTGCGCGATTATTAGAATGTTTAGAATTCGATCCAGAAGAATTCTACCATTTGCTCGAACAAGCAGAGGGTCAAGCTAAATTTAATGCAGGAGTAAAAACTGATATTCCTCAGTATATTATTCATAAGCTTTCTTTGAATAGAGATCCAATAACCGGTACATTAATTACTTCATTTGTATCATTATTATGCTTCTATCTTAAATGAAAATAATTATTATACTTGTTACTATAATCTTTCTTCAGAATTACAAGAAG